TCTCTCTCTCTCTCTCTCTCTCTCTCTCTCTCTCGTTATAAATAATTAAAAACATTTTTAATTACAGAAATCTACGGACTATTAACAACAGTACAGTCAATAAGACATTGGTCAACACAAATGTTATGGGACTACTATCAAGAATAATAAATATAACATACAATATCACTGAATAAAAAATCATATCAACAACACATCATTATTTAAGGCACATATCGACCAAATAGGGTGACCAACACAACAAACGCGATGCTTTATTACTGCGGTTTCGATAGTTTCCTGAAATTCCGGCACAAGTCGGGTATAAACAACATATTCCTGCGACCGCTGAGCGACCTTATATTCGACAACTCGGATCACGTGATCAGCGCATACGTCGGGTGGTGTTCGCTGTTTTTGCAGACCGGGTCCGGACAGGTAGTCTACTTGGGCTACTCGAACCCTAAGGCACATATCAAGAAACAATTGGACACTAAATCAAATGAAACGTTAAATAATACAAACAATAATCACGTGACCGATAAAAAGCATAAGGACTCGAATGAGCTGATTGTGTGCGAGAAAGCGCCCAAATATATTGTTAACATCGAGTGCGGCTCCAAAGAGACCATGGTGCTTACCCTTGATCATCAGCTATTTAAATGGTACCATTTTTTTATTAAGCTAGCTAGTTAAAATATTCAAAGTTTAATCAAACTATCAAAATAAACAAACTAAATAATTTAATTAAAAATATATACTGTATACTGTAGATACAATTATGTAGCAATTATGATAATAATTAATTTGCTATTTAAAGTTACATGTTATAAAACTAGCATGTTAATACAATATTACTAAATTAATGTATATTTATTTCTATTCTCGCTGAACACTCAGGACTGGCTTCAACTTTGTGGACACAGAGCCCGCACTTATCGGACAGCTGGAGCCCGAGGGCGAGCCCTCCACCCCCACCGCCACCACCGGTAGTGAACAACCGGCACAACCGCTGCCACCGATCGAACAGATCAGCGTCGGTGTCGAGTACTCTTGCGTACTGACCGACTCGGGCGACGCCATACTATTCGACATAAGCACCGGGCGGTTGGGCGCGCGACTCACCGACAAACGCTGTGTGGCCGTCAGCTGCGGTCAGGAGCACGTGTTGGCCCTCACGGACACCGGGCGAGNTGTCGAGTACTCTTGCGTACTGACCGACTCGGGCGACGCCATACTATTCGACATAAGCACCGGGCGGTTGGGCGCGCGACTCACCGACAAACGCTGTGTGGCCGTCAGCTGCGGTCAGGAGCACGTGTTGGCCCTCACGGACACCGGGCGAGTGCTGTCGTACGGGCGCGGGTCGAGGGGTCAGTTAGGCCACGGAGACGTCGAGGACGTTGTGACGGGCAGTGAGGGTAGCGAACCCGTGGGCGCCCGACTGGTCGACGCTCTGGACGGTGTAAAGATCAAAGCGGTGGCCGCCGGCGGCTGGCACTCGATGGCGCTGTCGACTACGGGTGATGTGTATGTGTGGGGTTGGAACGAGTCGGGACAGTTGGGTTACCCCCGCGAGACCATAGCCATGAAGGCGCTGCCCCTACCCCTCGAGATCTCTGATGACGATTGTTTCGCGTCGATTAGCGCCGGTAGCCGTCACTCGATGGCGGTGTCCGAGAATGGCATACTGTTTGGCTGGGGCTGGTATGTGCTGTGCTGTGTTATGATTAGCACTTGTTTCATTATTTATAGTTAATAAAATGCTTATTTATAATTAGCGTAAATTTTTTAATTTATTTGAGTAAAGCAATATTATATTATAGTTATTTAATTGTGCTGTTTTAATTCATTTATTTTATTTATTTGTGTTTTAATATTTAACTAGCCACCAGCCATTAAGTCTGTTACCCATTTCATCATTCTATTCCCCTCTATGTGTTTTCTCTATGCATTCACCCCATCCTCTCTATAGTTGTCACTACCCTCCCACCCCCTATTGTATGCTAATACCTATTGTAACGCTGTTTTCTAATGGCATTTACCCTATTATTAAATGTAAAACTGATTTAAATAAATATGGATTTGTTTTATAGTATAGATAAATTTATTCAATTAAAAATCAAGCTCGCCATATTATCATGCATTATTAATTAATTTATAGTAATTGTATTATTTGTTTTTAATTACCATCTAGGAACAAGTGGGGACAGTTAGGTCTTGATCCGAAACTATATGTTGTATGTGATACACCGCAAGTCATACCAGTCGATGAAAAGGTAACTTTTTGTTTGTTATTAAATTATTCAAACTAATTAAATTATTAATTTGTATTGTTTTGATTTGACCTAGGTGAAAACTATTTGCTGTAAATTCTGGTCAAGCCTTATAGAGACGGAACGGGAGCCGACACCCGATGATTGAGTGCTGGTTAACAACAATACAGGCGTTTTGTTGGCGTTTATGACAATCGCCCGGTGCTCGACGTATACGAGTGTCGACTGTACTGTATATAAAGTATACACTATTGTGCGGCTATTTTAACGGACAGTTTTTCAATGTATAATCGCAACAATTTATTTAATTAAATAATGCAAACTATGTTTTGATTTGATTTTAGATTAATTTTTAATGTTTATTATGTATTAATTGCATTATGAGAGAGAGAGAGAGAGAGAGAGAGAGAGAGAGAGAGAGAGAGAGAGAGAGAGAGAGAGAGAGAGAGA